ATATAACAAAGAGTGAAAAATGTAAGGGGGTCTGAATACTTTCCGTACCCACTGTATATATACAGTAAAATCTAATAAAAAAATATAAAATTACTCGAGTTCAAATAAAGAGGAAAATATGATATGAAATGAAATTTAGAATATAAAAATATTATATTAATATTATATTATATTAAAAATATATATTAAAATACCATACTGTATCTCAATTATCCTATTTTATAGTGGATATAAAAAATAAAACCATAAACATTTTCATTACTTGAAAAAAAAAAAATATATAATATATATATATATAATTCAAACTTATTTTGATAAAACATTTATCATTTTCATTTTAGTTGAACTTACTCTACTAAAATAAATAAAATTGAAAAATAAAATTAATAAATACAATGTAAACATTAAAAAACTAACAAAAATGTCAAAAACAACTAAATTCACTGAAACTTATATTAACTAATAGTAATATTAAAATGACCAATATAAAAGTAAAACAGTAAAAAACAATCAAAACCCAATATACAAAAAAGCTGTTTTGAAACTTTACTAAAATAACCAAAACTAAAACAGAAATAACATTTATAGAAAGTATATAGACATTTAAAAAAATAATAAAAATGACAAGCACACAACAAAATTACAAAAAAAAAACTTTAATTAAAATGAAAATGAAAGTAAATCTGATCATCAGGTGCACATAAAAAACGATCAACACCCCATATATGAGGGAAAAAAGAATTTACATGATTAATGAGATTATAATAGGCATGTTTTACTAGGTGGTGAGTAGAAAAATGATACAACTTCTAAAATATATTACAATATTTTCTTCAAATACACTTATATATCAAAATGATATTCTTGAAATAAAAAAATAATACAAACAAAATATTTAAATAATTAAAAATGTAAATAATATATGCAATAGCACACATGGAAAGTAAAAATTATTTTTTTGACTTGCGTCATATTTAGGGTGTCTATGACATCAAAAAGCTGCTGTAACCCTCACTAAACTGTGTTGATGCCTCACACGTAGAGTCCACTCAGTAAGCACTTCTGCAAGTGAACAGCAATCCAAAGAAACACAGATCAATGTGTTAGTCCTTTAGTCCTTCACTCGTTCCTTGATGGATTCAATGAAACATTTCAAGCAAATGAAGGAGAGGAAGATGATTAAATCTGAGCCATGAACGTCTGACGTAAGCGGTCGCAGACCTGCATCTCAAAACATGATTACTGCTGGCTGTAGGTGAGCAAAAAGACTCGGTTCATGACTTGAGATATGAATTATCATTGCATGCCCTTGTAAGCTTCCTGATGAAATGATGAGGAGCTCTGAGCACACAACAGGACGGGTCTGTCTGTGTCCGTGTGCTGTGGGATGAGTCATCAGGCCCCGCCGCTCTGCAGGGTAACTTCACAAACAAAGGCACAGTCATTGAACAATGTCTAATGCTATTCTAATAAAACCGGCTTTGGTAAACAACCTCGTACCTTTTAAGAAGATTGAATGTCATTGATTCTCCTCGCTCCATTAGAAGAGTAACAAACTCCTGTGCCCTTAAAAAAAACTTTTTGGACACAAATACATGACTAATATGCTTTTTTGGTGTGTTTTCAGGGGAAAACTGTTAAGACGAGTCATTTGGAGATTGCGCGTTTTGGTGCAGGTGGACACTTTAAATTGAGTTTTAATCTCGAACACGGTCAGAAGCTTTTAAAGACTGCTCCTGATGCTGATTGGTCAAAGCACTATCCCAGCTGTGCTATAATGGAATCAAATGTTGGGATTGTAGGTTATTTTGCTTCCGTAACTTCATACTAGAGGGACGAAAGCATCCAAAATACACATTTAAATGTGAAAAAAATTAATCTGTCATCATTCGCTCGTCCTCGTGTCATTCAAAACCTGTATGGATCGCTTTCTTCTGTCGAACACAGAAAAATATATTTTGAAGAATATGACGGTAGCCATTTATTTCCCTTACTGTGGAAGTCAATTGGGACCAAAAGCTGTTGGTTACCAACATATCTTCTTCTGTGTTCAGCAGAAGATTTGGACGAACTATTCCTCGAAGTGTTTATTTTGTTACATTTTATCAATTTGATTTTGTAGATTTCAATAAAAAAAAACAAAAGAAAACTCCACTTTGGTAGCACTTACACACCGTAACAGATTTATTCCTATCTATGTTCTAAAGATTTATACTGAGTGGTTTGTTCATATATCATTCACACTGATTTATAACATTTTATTCCTAAAAAAACATGCCGATTTTTTTTTCTCTTTTGTATATTTTCCCCGTCTGTTGGCTTGGCGCTCATGTGCGTTCTCGAGGATTCGTCAGTAAATCAGTCCTGTCATGACGTCATTTCCCTGTGGCTCCAGAATGGCATTTATGGTGCATTTTTGTAATGTGACTCATGTGCCGTTTGGATTAGTTTAATGATTAGTAGATACTCTCTAGAGTCTACTCTTAAAGGGGTCGTATAATGCGATTTCAACTTGTCCTTTCTCTTTGGAGTGTTACAAGCTCTTGGTGCATAAAGAAGATCTGTAAAGTTGCGAAGACTAAAGTCTCAAATCCAAAGAGATATTCTTTATAAAACTTAAGAGTTAACCACGCCTACCTAAAACGGCTCGTTTGAACACGCCCCCACATGTCTACCTCACTATGTGGGAAGATTTGCATAACGCCGCCCAAATGTTCACGTAAAGAAAGAAGGCGTAACTTTTATTCTCGCTGTAGTATTGTTGTTGCCGCCGCCGTGTCGTGAAGACGCTGTGTGCTTGGTTGTGAAAGCGAAACTACTTTGTTTGGTCTTCCAAAAGAGGACCACTTCGTCATGCCTGGAGCTGATCCGTGCTGGTCGCTGAGGAAATACTTTAACTTAGTGCTGTGGATCGCCGGATCGGCTCTCACCGTGGACGAAGCGGAGTCCAGCCCGGGGTCGTCACATGTGCGGTGAGGGACGTAACATTTCCGTCACGAGCTTGAGGTATTCGGCCAGTCACAACGCACTGGATAGCTGGCCAATCACAGCACACCTCGCTTTTCAGACCGATGAGCTTTGTAAAAATCGACACGTTTCAGAAAAGCGGGGCATAGAGGAGAAACAATAATGTACAGTATGTGGAAAATAATGTGTTTTTTGACCTTAAACCGCATAAACACATTTCATTACACCAAATACACAACAAATGTTATTTTTAGCAGCATGACCCCTTTAAAAATAAAGGCTCTTCTATTGGCGTCAGGAACCTTTAACATCCATGGGAACTTTCCATTGCACAAAAGGTTCTTTAGATTAGAAAAGAACCCCAAAATCACTGCAAGAACCTTTATTTTTAAGTGTTGATTAGGGGTTAAAAAGAAAGACATTTTAAGAATGCAGCTCTCAACGTTGCAAAGCTTTATTACACGCAGCAAGCAGCGCCCTCTCGCGCCGAACACCCGCTCTCACGCCTCGAAAGCGCACGCAATCACATCCTGGCATCTCAGAAGCGCCTCCCTCTGAACCCCGAGAGGAGTCTCCAGGTCGGACACCTGCAGGGTCAGCACGTCTATGTCCGAGGCGCCGAACCTCGCGTGCACGCGCACGTGCTCGTGCATGTCGAACCGGACTCGTCTGCCCGTCATCAGTAAGAGCGCCCGCAGAAACCTCTCGCGCAGCTCCGCCCGCAGCCGCTGCTCCTCTTCATCCGAGGAGGAGGAGGAGGCGGGAACGGTTGTGGGACAGAGAGCGATGAAGCGGGGAGAGTTCGGGTCGAAACCTCGGCTGTTCGGGTCCGGTCCTCTGGGCAGCCGCAGGACGCTCACTGGAGTTTTCATACTGCTCCTTTAAATCAGACACACATCGCGAACTTTCATGTTGCAATGCTGATCTTATACAACGGATACAAAGTGACAAGTGTTTACTCACCTCATTCAGCACGCGTCTGAACGTCCGACCGGAAGAGCGGTTTGTTTTTCAAAATAAAAGTCTTCAAGCGAGGTTAAAATAAAAAGTCATTCAGCAAAGATGCGTTATATATTGATCAAAAGGGACATTTATAATGCTAAAACTAAAACATATTTCCGTTTCAAATAAATGCTGTTCTTTTGAACTTCCCATTCATCAAAAATCAGGGTATCTTCCGTCCAATCAATTTTTGTTTTAATATTGAAATCTGAAAAACGGGCACATATTTCGTTTTTCAATTATTCAAACAAAACGAAAAATCAAGAATCCGGCTTACTTTTTCGTTTTTACATTCAGGGATAGAAAACGAATAAACAACTTGAATATTCGATCTCTACATGTGGGCGGGAATGAAACGCCCCTCTCTGCTAATTGGTCAACCAAACATTACAACATAATAATAGTCCTAAAAAAAAACTTAATAATAGTCCTCCGCTTCTATTGATTCTTAACATGTTTATTTCTACTACATTTTATCTCTTCATCAAACAGCCAGATTAATGAATGGCTTGACACAAACCATACTGAAGCAGAGCCTTTTGGCCCTAGGCATACCTGTTTTATTATAGTTATCCACCCATTAAAATATGTGTGGCAAAGCTGCGCGATGCACTGCAGCGTGGGGAGAATGTATTGTAGACAAGCGCAGACCACTATTAATTTATGTGACACAGGTAGTTTTAGACAATAAACTGAGTTCATTTAATTAATATGGAGTATTGGCCAGCTAACTGATGGCATACACAATTGTTATTTTCTCTGCCAACTAAACCCAAGTCACAGAACGAAATATGTGCCCGTTTTTCATTTTTCAGATTTCAATATTAAAACAAAAAATGATTGGATGGAAGATACCCTGATTATCAAAGTATCCTGAAAAAAAGAAATGTGTCACGGTTTCCGCAAAAATATCGATTGTTTTCACCAATGATAATAATAACCTATTTTTGTTTTTATTAAGCACCAACAATAATTGAGCAGCAAAGCAGCATATCAGAATGATTTCTGAAGGATCATGCGACACTGAAGACTGGAGTAATGATGCTGAAAATACAGCTTTGAAAATCACATTTTAGAAAACTTAAATTGTAGTGATATTTTACAATATTATTGACAATTTAAATGACACCGATATGACTTTGTTGCATTAAAAATCAAACAAATTTAGGTATAAATAAACAAATGAACTACTGTAGCCTACATGGATCTGGCTTTCAGACACACATGTACGCACACGTTTGCACACTGATGTGGGTTTTGGTGTGGATGTGCACTCTAAAAAATGCTGGGTTAAAAAGGGACAAACCCAGCTATTGGGTTGTTTTGACCCAGCAGTTGGGGTCAGAACAACCCAACCACTGGGTCAAAACAACTCAACAGCTGGTTCAAAACAACCCAACAGCTGGGTCAGAACAACCCAACAGCTGGGTCAAAACAGCCCAACAGCTGGGTCAAAACAACCCAACCGCTGGGTCAAAACAACTCAACAGCTGGTTCAAAACAACCCAACAGCTGGGTCAAAACAACCCAACCACTGGGTCAAAACAACCCAACAGCTGGGTCAAAACAACCCAACAGCTGGGTCAAAACAACCCAACAGCTGGGTCAAAACAACCCAACCACTGGGTCAAAACAACCCAACCACTGGGTCAAAACAACCCAACCACTGGGTCAAAACAACCCAACCACTGGGTCAAAACAACCCAACCACTGGGTCAAAACAACCCAACCACTGGGTCACAGCTGGGTCAAAATAACCCAATAGCTGGGTCAAAACAACCCAATAGCTCTGTCAAAATAACCCAATAGCTGGGTTTGTCCCTTTTTAACCCAGCATTTTTTAGAGAGTGTAAGGAGCAGTGAGCCGTAAAAACCACACACAGTCGAAGCACACTTTTGTATCTTATTTACCCCTAAATGTTGTGTGTTAGTACCTTAAGTGTTAAAAAAATTAATCTGTCATCATTCGCTCGTCCTCATGTCATTCAAAACCTGTATGGATTGCTTTCTTCTGTCGAACACAGAAAAATATATTTTGAAGAATATGACGGTAGCCATTTATTTCCCTTACTATGGAAGTCAATTGGGACCAAAAGCTGTTGGTTACCAACATATCTTGTATAAATGTTTAGTAACATTTATAAAACAACCCAACAGCTGGGTTTGTCCCTATTTAACCCAGCATTTTTTAGAGTGTGTACGGAGCAGTGAGCCGTAAAAACCACACACAGTTGAAGCACACTTTTGTATCTTATTTACCCCTAAATGTTGTGTGTTAGTACCTTAAGTGTACATATTAGTACCTCTTGAAAGGGTAGCTACCGCCACAGAGCTTTTGCACATTTTTTTTTTTAGCTACAGCTTAAAACGATGCCCTCAGAGCAAAAATGTAGGTTATCCACCATGGCATATAACATGAATGATATAAAGGATTTTTGAGTGCATATTAATTTAGTAACTGGAACATGCAAAATCTTCCCACAGCTGAATCATTTTGTAGACTCTACAGACTCTGTATGTATGTTTGAAATCTCGACCGCACCCATTTCTCATAACTGAGGAGAAGCCCAGCAAACCATATAGACCAAGTGTGAATGGAAACTGCTACTCCTGTAGTTGCAATATACTGTAGTCAGGCCAGACTGTCAATAGTAAGTCCAAATGTAAGTCAAAGTTACACCCATTTCTTTCTTCACTTCCCGTCTTCCTATTCTTTCATTATGATTATTTGTAAGAACGGATATAAGTTGTGCTGGTTTGCATAATGGTGCATCATTTCCGATCGCATGTACTTCCTCAAACATGTCATGCTGATCTTTTGCACTCCAGCAGTGCCCTCAGACGACCTGCACTCTCTTTTCATCTTAAAACAACTGTAAGTACTGATCGTCTCACTCTATTCATCATCTACTGTATTAATAATGCTTTGAATATGATAGAATGATGATATTTACTTGCAGTCTACTTCATAATAATCACAAATGCACTAATATCCAGACATAAAAAGTGAAAGTGATCCAAGGGATAAAGTGGAAGTGATATTAACTTTAAGCAGATAACAGTGTGCATGTCATGCAATGGTTTATTTTTCTGTTGTATGAGAGTTACTTTTGTGTATACATGAGATGTATTGTGCGATACAGTATTTATGTTTAAATATTGACTGCATATGTGCCTGTTGTAGTTTATATCCTTGAAAGGATGGAGAAGAATGGAGGAAAACCACATGAGCAGCATTATGGGTAAGTCTCTGTTGCAGTTTCATGTTGCATCATCACTATCAAACACAAAGGAAGTTAACAATTATGTAACACAAAAAAATAGACATTTTAATGTGGTAGCAGGACTTCAAGAAGATACTGACAGTGCGACAGCAAGAAGTAAAATCAGAAGCAAATCAGCGTTTATTGTCATTCAGCCGTGATAGTCATAGTGAAACAGAATCGCTTTTGTCTAGAGGAACTGGTGCTAATTATGACATTATTGTTGAAAGCATCCTCACTTTACAGCATTTTTACACAAGTGCCTAAATCTTCTCACAGTACTGTAGCTTTGCAGGAAGGTTTCTTCAAGCGTCATGGCGATGTTGCCACAGGTCTTCTGGATTTAGTTTGTCTCAGTTTTTTCTGTTTCTTCATGTAATCGCAGACGGACTGGATGATGCTGAGATCAGATGTCTGTGTGCAGCACTGGTTGTTGTCAGACAAAAATCTCACTGGATTATTACAATGAATGGCAAAAGGAATGTTTAGAAATGTAAACTGATATTTCCTACTGACACACTACAGCAAACGATAGAAATAACTGACTTAATCCATTTTTTGTTGGTTAAAATACTAATGGCCTAGAACTTGCACAGTAGTGTATGTATATACGCACACACACACACACACACACATGTTGTGTTTCCATGTTTTATGGGGACTCTCCATAGGCGTAATGGTTTTTTTACTGTACAAACTGTATGTGCTATTGCCCTACACCAACCCTACCCCTAAACCTAGCCCTCACAGAAAACTTTCTGCATTTTCAGATTTTCAAAAAACTTTATTAGCTGATTTATTAGCTTGTTTACCCGTGGGGACCTCAATTTAGGTCCCCACCGTGACACGAGTCCTAATGTTTAGTCAAAATATAATTTCAAAAATACAATAAAATTAAAACTAATTGAAAATAATAAATACAATGTAACAATTTATTTAGATTTAAAACTCAGAAACCAGGTTATGTTGCAGGGCAACATATATGACAAATATATTAGTAATATATTTGTTGTTTATGTATATGTGCAAAAATGTATAAATGTTTAGTAAAAAAAATTACATTTTAATGTAATAATTTTGATTTAAAACTTTAGTGCTTTTGCTTTAGTTAAATACTTTAATACTGTAAAACATTGTAATAATCTCATCAGAAATTGTATAATAATGTTATCTGTATCTATGTAATAAAGAAACTATGCTGAAATGCAAAAATCAAATGTTGTATATACTGTGTCAATTAATGTTTAGATATATAGTGCTTTATATTGATGCGCTTTTAGCTCTGTCCCATTAACATGTGTTCATTTATGCAACAAATGCTTCTGTGTATTACTTGAATATTACATTAACTGTATAACTGAATAATATCATATTCCGTTTCATCATCAGGCTGGTTTCGTCAGCGCTTTGGAAAACAAAGAAATGATTTGGACCAAGTCCAACCAGGTAAATGTTCTCAGACGTGCTCCTCCGGACACTCCTCCATCTCAGCCAAGCCGTCAGCCTCAGATCAGCCTCTGCCCTCCGTGCTCTCCTCCCCCTACCGCTCCTCTCTCAGATATGATGTTTTCGTGTGTCACAACGATGAGGACAGTGATCTAGCACAGAGTCTGGCCTCGTTCCTAGAGGCCCCGTCTAGCGGCCTGCGATGTTACCTGCACGAGCGGGACTGTCCCGCAGGAGGCGCTGTGTCCACTGAGCTGCTGCAGGCCGTGCAGGACAGTCACTGCTGGCTGTTACTCGTCACTCCAAACTTCGTGAAGGATGACTGGTGCTTGTATCAGATGCACCAGGTCCTGTCTGAAGGGCCCATGTCACAGAGGATCATCCCGGCTGTAGTAAACATGCCCAGATCACTCAGACGTGCTCCTCCGGACACTCCAACACCAGCAGCTCCTCCTCTTCCTCCATCTCAGCCAAGCCGTCAGCCTCAGATCAGCCTCTGCCCTCCGTGCTCTCCTCCCCCTACCGCTCCTCTCTCAGATATGATGTTTTCGTGTGTCACAACGATGAGGACAGTGATCTAGCACAGAGTCTGGCCTCGTTCCTAGAGGCCCCGTCTAGCGGCCTGCGATGTTACCTGCACGAGCGGGACTGTCCCGCAGGAGGCGCTGTGTCCACTGAGCTGCTGCAGGCCGTGCAGGACAGTCACTGCTGGCTGTTACTCGTCACTCCAAACTTCGTGAAGGATGACTGGTGCTTGTATCAGATGCACCAGGTCCTGTCTGAAGGGCCCATGTCACAGAGGATCATCCCGGCTGTAGTAAACATGCCCAGATCACAGCTCCCGCTCGAACTGCGCTTCCTTTTTACTGTGGATCTGAACACGAATAAAGAGTTCGGCTACACTCTAGTCTACAAGACGGTACTTCATTGTGAGTATTTTGCATCTAGTATAGAGTGTGTTCACGACACGTCATCAATCCGGAAGTCGGCCATATTGGTGGCAGTGAACGTAACAATGCCATTTATCTGAATGGAACTCACAAATTTTGCTGATTACTGCTGCTGAAGACGGTCAATTATTGTCGACTATACAGTTGTATTGTCAATTATACAAATCCGACTCTCTAACCATATTTTATTCATGTTCATATTTTTGAACTGAATACATTGTTTTCACAATGAACAGACGAATGCTCATTCTAAGTGATTTGAATAAATGTGTTAGAAAGTGCGATTATTTAAATACAAATGAAATAGATGCAAATAGTTAATAATAAACTATTATGCATGTACTGACAAATATGCATCACATTAAGTTTATTAGTTAGTTTATTTTAAAACTCTGTAATCCACATGGAAATGTTACATGCATTTAAAATACAGAAATTCTATCATTCACTCAAACCCATGTTGTTCCAAACCTTCATGACATTTTATTTCCATAGAGCCCAAAAGCAAACGCTTAATAAATCAATCATCCTGGCCGCTCTTTTGCATACAGTGAAAATGAACTGACGCTCAGGTGTGTTGAGGTTATAGTGATCACGGATGCTCTTTATTTTGCAAAACTAGACTCTAGACAAGATGAGAATAAATGAAATAATAGTACTAATAAAGTAAATAAATAAAATACCTCACCAAAGCACAAAGTTACATCAAACTACACAAAACTAAAAATAAAATTACTATTACTAAAATGTTAACTAAAATTCAAATGAAAACAATATAGCAATAAAAACTAGTTCAACAATTATTAATAAAAATATCACTATGATGCAGATCTGTTCTGTGAAACACAAAAGGAGAATGTCCACTCTGCTCTTTTCTGTATGATGAAATTGAATGTGATGCTGTCGGCGTGACGTGGCCAAGTATGGTGACCCGTTCTTGGAATTAGTGCTCTGCATTTAACCCATCCATTCAAAACACACACAAACACACACCGTGAACACACACCCGGAGCAGTGGGCAGCCATTTATGCTGCGGCGCCCGGGGAGCAGTTGGGGGTTGCTCAGTCGTGGTATTGAAGGTGGGAGAGAGCGCTGTACATTCACTCCCCCCACCTACAATCCCTGCCGGTACGAGACTCGAACCCGCAACCATTAGGCCACGACTTCCCAAGGTCGTGGCCTAATGTTTGGACTTGTCAAAAAATATACTGTTTTTTAAAAAATATGTATCCATAATCCAACTCGTGCAACTTTTCAAGTCTTCTGAAGTCATAGAATAGCTTTCTGTGTACAATTTGAGTAATTTGTCACTTATTGAGATACTTACAGTATACTTACAGTATAGTGGGAAAAGGTGCTTTACTCTTCTGGCTTTGTGCAGCCAAAAAACTTCATCACATGAGACAGAGATAAAGCCTTTTTTTCTGTAAACCAGACTGGAATGTTTATATTTCAATCTTTCCCACGCTGACTTTGCTCGACACTTGTAGATGCTTTGTTACGTCTGGAAACATAATATAGATTCTCAACAGCGTTTCTCGTTTTTTACAGATTTGAAGGACATGTCTGAGAAGGAAAAGCCCAGTAGTGCATCTCAGTCTGACGGCTGAGAACAGAATTCCAACATTCATTGTATTGACCGCAATGACAAGATTCTTCACTTCCAAGAAGTGACATCCAAGCTGTATCATAACTCTATATGCACGGTCTCTCCGTCTAATGTCTCAGAGTTCTCAAAAATAAAATTAAAGATGAATTATATCAAAATTGGTTCATCTAACCGTTAAAGGGATAGTTCACCCAAAAATGAAAATTCTGTCATAATTTACTCACCCTCAGGTTTTTCCAAACCTGTATGAGTTTTTTTCTTCTTCTGTTGAACACAAAAGAAGTAGTGTCTTATATATATATACACACACTACCATTTAAATGTTTGGTGACAGTAAGATTTTTTAAATGTTTCTCTGCTCACCAAGTCTGCATTTATTTGCCCAAAAAATACAGTGAAAATTGTAATATTGTGAAATATTATTACAATTTAAAATAACTGTTTTCTATTGTATTATATTTTAAAATGTAATTTATTCTTGTGACGCAAAGCTGAATTTACAGCATCATCACTCCAGTCTTCAGTGTCACATTTCTTATTATCATCAGTGTTGAAAACAGTTGTGATGTGGAAACTGTGATGCATTTTTTAAAAGTTTGATTTAATGAATAGAAAGAACAGCTTTTATTTGAAATATAAATCTTACAGTCACTTTTAGTCAATTGAATATGTGTCCTTGCTGATTAAAAAAAAAATCAGTTATCTGATTTGATACTCTTTATTCGTGCTACTTGAATTGGTGTGTATAAACTATTAATATTATCAGTGCTGTTTATGAGGTTTTTGCACTGATTGTTTTGTTGAAATATGATATCATCCTCTTGTTTTCCATAGTGAGGGTGTCAACCCAGACTTTTATGAAGATATGTATATAGTGTTAAATAAATCAAGCGACCTAGTTTGCAACAGAAAGTCATAATACATTAGCTCAAACGCGCTGAGGCATATGTTTCCCTTTCTGATTTTAGGTCAAAGTCAGATTAGAAGAAGGGCTTATGTAAAATATCATTTTAAAATTATTCTCACTCACATACACCCAGCCACCCACCCATATAGACATGTGCACAGAAGGAAATTCGAGCAGCTGCAGGTATAAATGACATTCATTGAGTTTACTGTAATGCATATAATGAAGATTCACATCAGTATTAATAGCATATCTCATATGCAGATATTATTAACCACAGAGAGCTCAGGATTGGTTTTCTGCCTGTCATCTGTGGTTGAATTTGTGCCATGAGTAAGATGTTTCACTGGCATTTCAATGCTTTCAGAAAGGTTTTAAGCCACAGTTGGACATGCCATGTAAACCAACAGGACACCTCAGAGAACTGCAAAGGTGTGATTAAACGTTCTTGGCAAATAACATGTCATCATCCCCACTGGCAAAAATGCATGGCTTCAAGCATTCAACACATTAAACTGGTCCCCAATCACTCTTTTTTGCTCTCATTAGAATTATTGTAAAAGACTTTCCTTTGTCATTCAGTTGCTGAAGTATGTGCATGATGTGCATTAGCGCAACTGAGAGAAAGCTGCTTTGATGGGGGATTACATAAGATTATGTTGCATTTAAAATTAAGCTCACTCTGACAGAGACTGATACAATGCTTATTTTGTTTCTTGACTTTATATATATGTTTTGTTTGAACTGTTCCTTTTAAAGCATTACATTTTCTGAAAATGTGTACTCACCTGTAGAAAAAATTCCAAAGCAGTTTTCAGTGTTTAATATGAACAGTCACGACAGTAAATGTATTTTATATGAAAACAAAATGAAACAGTTAAAGAGATGAAGAGCTTTGCAACTCATGAACAGCTCGGATTATCGTGATGTTTGTATCAGATGTTTGGACTCTCATTCTGACGGCACCCATTCACTGCAGAGCAT